TTTTTGAACCTTAAACCGCATAAACACATTTCATTACACCAAATACACAAAATAATGTTCTTTTTAGCAGCATCATATGACCCCTTTAAAGATTATGAGGGATAAGAAAATACAAAATTCTTGCTTTTCAAATAGGATTCAGCTATACTGTCAAAAATAAAGGTTCCAAATCGGAATATTTGTAGAGATGTGATAGACCTTTCAGTGAACAGCAAACTTAAAAGAACCGTTATGTGTTATGAACATTAAAGGGGTTTTAGGGGGGTGTGGCTGACTCTTAACTTTTATAAAGAATATCTCTTTGGATTTGAGACTTTAGTCTTTGCAACTTTACAGATCTTCTTTATGCACCAAGAGCTTGTAACACTCCAAAGAGAAAGGAAAAAATGAAATCGCATCATATGACCCCTTTAAGATCTAAAGAAACCTTTTCCGCTTTAAGGAAACTTTTGTGCAATGGACAGGTACCTTGGATGTTAAAGGTTCTTCATGGAGATATCATTGCCACAAAAGAAACTTTGACACCATCCTCAAAAATGAAAGATTTCAAGATTTTCACAATTGTTGATATTCCATTGTATAAAAATATAAATTGTTAATCCACAGAATTGCTCTTTTTAAAATTATGTTCTTACATCTATCCTTAAAGCCACTATCATGGCCTCCTGATGATGCAGGCTTTGTCCACTAGATGAAGACAGTTACACTTTGTGCATACTGAAGCAACAAAGTTGCTTCCAAATTAAAATAGATCTGTTCATGTGTGAAAAACTGATGGAGAAGACAAAGAATTCAATACTTTTGTCATTTTAAATCATGCCAAAACAAGTCATTTATTGTACATTTCAAATTTGTCATAACTCGAGGCTTTTAAACTATTATTAAATTTTCTGAAAGCTTTTTCATTTGTCCTTTTCTACTTGTGTAAATATAAATGAGTAATAGTAATCTACTTACATACCCACACACTGGACAAAAGAAAGGTCCATCTTTTTCTATAACAACAAAAAAGGCATAAACAAAAAAAACGTTTTGTAAACCATGACCCACAGAAAAATGTCAAACTGTGTTACGTCTAACCTGTAACAGTGGACACAGACACAGCACAACACTTAAAGTGTGCAAAAATGACATTGTTGCTGTGAATGGGTCAGGGTTTGGTCATCCAAATGTTAAACAGAAATGATATGAAACATTAAGGTTTTAATATAGGTGTTCCTTCAGAACTGACTGCTCAAAATCAAATTTCCTTTCTTTCGATTGATAATGAAGAACTAGCCTTGTCTGTGACATCAGCACTGATGTCATTTCATTTCGTCACAAATAATTTATACATTACTTAGTTGCATGTCTAACTTGTCATTTATCATAAAACTGTATAAAAGACAGCCTTTCCTTTATTCATTAAGGTTGATGAGTGGCATATCAATACAAATATTAACTAGTTTCTGTACAACATTTACAATGAGTGAAAAATGCTACAACACAAAGAGAACAGAAAGATATAAAAGTTCCTCAATAACCGATCAGAATAACAGTTACTGAAACAACCTAAACATTAATTGTTACATTCCAAATAAAGGGCACAAACAGAAAGAGATTAAGACCATGCAAAGAAACAGATTCAGTACAATTTGTGCAACAAAGCAAAACTAGTTTGTGACAATCGAGCATGTAGCAGTATTGGCTCCTTTCCCAAACTACACAAGAATTTAAAATACTGATCCACATAGTAGTTGACTAGCTAAATCTGGAAAATGGGAATACAGAATACTGTGGCATGGTGATACATTCATGGGATGTACAGTTCAAGCACTTTTATTAAATGTGCAGCTTCCTTTACCCATGGCTCTGATGTACAATATCGCCCAAGTGACCAAGACCAAAAAAAATGAAGTTTAAGATCAGTAAGATTTTATATTTTTAAAACAAATCTCTTTTACTCACCAAGGCTGCATTTTATTTGATAAAAAAACACAGTTTTCAGTCTTCAGTGTCACATGATTCTTCAGAAATCATTCTAATTTTCTTCTCAAGAAACATTTCTTAATATTTTGTGGATTCTTGATGAATAGAATGTTTAAAAAGCAGAATTTATTTGAAATCAAACTCATTTGTAACATTATAAATGTCTTTACTGTCACTATTGATCTATTGAATGCATCCTTGCTGAATACATTTGTTAAAAATAAATCTTATTGACCCCAAACTTTTTAACAGTAGTGTATATATATGTATATAAACTTTTTTATATATGGATTTGCATATGTTTGAATTTAGACAATGCATTGTTCTAGTACAGACATTGACCATGATCTTAATGTTTTAACCAGACTGTACTATGTCCACAATTTTGGGGCTTTTGTAGTTCTTGTTAAACAAGAAGACTTCATTATATCATAATCATTTACCTCTCACTCATTATGTATAAAATCCACCTCTTCCTTAAACTTCAGCGGACCATTTCATCCGAACATCTAAGAAAAATAAACCTTTCTTTTTCACATTTTCAATAGAGTTTTCTTTCTATACGTATATACTATATTGTATAACTGTGTGGTCTGTACGCACATAGTTCACTTGTGCTTCTCTACATGTGACCCCTCAGTCAAAGAATGCTGATGGTCAGTACAGACCCGTTAGTTAGAAGCATCAGCCATTAACAGCAGTGCATCTTGGGATGGACTGACATGATTTTATTATTGTTTCAACAGCAGACCACAATGTATGTTGGCAGAGAACATTCAAAAGAAGTTCCCTTATCTGCTGATTATTACAGTATGTCTTCCTATTGCTCTGTCTATTGATTCAGTGCTGGATTGTTAAGACTTCATAGACAAACAGCACTTTATAAAGAAATTCTTGAGGGCTGATTAAATGCTCAAATTATATTAATAAACCCCACATGCCATAGGGTGCACGAATAGCTCTCCTATATGGTGTGATATTTAATATAATTCTACTTGTTTAGTTCATGTGTAGAATACAACACTGAGTTGTACATACTCAGAGGTAGAGTGTATATAACTGAGAGTGAAAAGTACACTTCTACTCTAGATTCCAGTTTCATCACGTTTTTGTCATTTCTACAGCGTGATGACATGAGTAGTGACGGAAACCGTGACCCACGTGTGTGAGACGGAGCACATGAGAGACACGATCATTTCGACAGCAACTTGCTCTGTAAATACATGATGACTTGGTGTAAGGAGGCAGAGGCGGTGCATTTCACACCCCTGGCCTGAAGGGGGAGCTCTCTGCCGAATGTGAGTCCTCTATCTGCTCTATATATATATATTATATAGCAGTGGTTCTCACTAGGGGGCCTCAGCACACTTCCAAGCGAGCCACAAAATGGCTTGATGTGATTTAAAACAAGACACGTTTTAAAATAAGCTAAAATCAACGTATATTTTATTTTTATTTTTTCTTAGGAACCAGCATTCCCATGGCCTTGGGAAACCAGCTTACGGTATATAAGGGAATTTTAAAAGTGTGATTTCCAGACCTGGAAAAGTCACAGAAATGTATCTAATGAATACGAGTTCTTCTAATTATCTAAGATTTTTTTTTCATTTTTTTTTTTTCAAATTGTTATTTGTGATTTTATACATTTAATCTCATAATTACAAAAGACTGGAATTATGTTAATTCACTAGTCATAAAAAGTGTGAACCCTGATATTTTTTTAAGTTCTTGAAATGCCTAGAATTGTGGAATGTAATTGTATTTAATGTAATTAATTATAATTATTTCATATATTTATTTTAATATATCTTTGCACTGTACCTGCTTAAGCCGTTTCACTTCATGCTCCAGTTCAATCTCTCGAGTCTTGGCGTTGTACTCGGACAGTCCCGCAGCGTTACGGCCACGGCCGGGCTTCTCAGCCTCCAGTTTAAAGAGCTGGAGGTGCTCCAGTTCACGCCGCAGGTCCTCAATCAGCTACATGCACATGTGAATTGTGTGAGAGGTCTGGAGATATATGTTTATGTGTATAATTGTAATCTGCAATAAAAACAACACTGTGCTACCTCTTGCATGGCCTCTCGCTCCTTCTGAAACTCATGTCTGTTCTGCCAAAGTTTATCCATCATTTTCCTGTACAGATCCATCTCATCCTTCAAACGCAGGCTTGTGTCTTCCAGTTTATCTGTCATACGTTGCTTCTCCTGTGCACAAAATTATACATACAATATACATAGATCTTTATATTGCCATTATAGCATTACAATTCTCTCATCATCTACTCACCCATGTCATCCCAAATGTATATTGACTTTTTTTTTTTATGAAACACAAACAATGATTTTTAGAAAAATAGCCCATATAATGCAAGTGAATGGGACCCTCAAAGTTGTTGCTTCAAAAACCACAGTTTTCATACCTTTATTTCTGAGTGTATGGATTTAAAGTGTGGTTTTTAAAGTGTCAACTCTGAGAGTCCCATCCATGTGCATTTTATGGACTCCCAGAGATGGATTATTTTTCTAAAAATCTTCATTTGTGTTCCACAGAAGAAAGACAGTTAAATAATCTAGGATGGCATGAAGGTGAGTAAATGGTAAATTATTTTTGGGTGGGGTACCAATTTAAGGCATTTTAGACATAACATCATTATTTCTTGAAAAGCTGCTTTGAAACAATGTGCATTATAAAACCACTATACCAATAAATATAAAAATCCCTTTAAGACAAGTCAGTTCACTTGGCAGCCATTTTGGACCCCAATGCAGCTGTTTTTTTTAGTTAGGCAATAGACTTACAAGTACGACTCTCAGTCTCATCCACTTGAAAAAACTTTGAAAACCTTGTGTAAACTTTGTATTTAATGTTTCACTGCATTTCAAATCAGCAATAAAATCTGACAACAATTTCACCATAAATGTAGCTTCTTTAGCTGATTTGAAACAAAAAAAAAAATTTGCATTTTCAGCCTAGTCCACAAGAGGAGCTTTACATTTTTAAGCTAAATCAGACAATGACCTAGTTTTTTAGCTTTATGGAAAGGCTACAGCATAGAAAGTCATGCAGTTGCTCGACAATGTTTCATTCCATCTCAGAGATCAAAGCCTCACAGGCTGCTAATGTCATGCAGGCAGGAGCTTTCACACTCATTACACTAGCTAATGCAAGCAGTATGAAAGAGTGTGCTGTTAACACTGACAAGCTCCAAGGATTTCACTGCCTGCTGAAATGTGTCAAAAGATGCTTCAGTGAGGTCAGAAGTAATAGTGTGAAAATGGGTGTGTGAACGTGTGTCGGCGAGGGTTTAAGCGCAAGAGAGCAAGAAATTGCTATATTTTAATTGTTAAACCAACCATTTGATGCATAGCCTGATGTGTGATGTGGGTTATGTGGTTGTGGTGATGGTCAAGGGATTGCTACTCTACTAGCTTGAGATTCGATGCATATCTGACCTGGTCCAGTTTCTCAGTTTGAGACTTGAGTCTGCACACATTCACTTTCATCTCTGCGTTCTCCTCTTCTAGCTGCTGGACCCTGTGGAGAGAAATCCTCCATTATAAAGTAGCAAGCCACACACTGCCCTTCTAAAAAGGTCTTGAAACTTCCACATGCTTCATATACATGTTTTTGTGAGTTTTCTGATTAGGTACCTGTTACTAAGCATTTCAATCTCAGTACTCTTGTCTCTCTCCATCTTACTGTAGGCCTCTCTGTGTCTCTTCAGCTCCTCCTCTAAACATTGCTCTGCACGCGTCTCCTGATCTTTGATCTGCTCCTCCAGCTCATGTACCCTGATGGATAAACATGTACAAACACATACAGACATAAGAAAGCATATAATACATATGCATACATCACCAAGGCTGCATTTATGTGACAAAGGATTCATAGAGTATAAACATTAATACTGTGAAATATCATTACAATTTAAATGAAATGTAATTTATTCCTGTGATGCAAAGCTGAAAAATGTTTTTTAGCAGCCATTACTTCAGTCGTCAGTGTCACATGAACCTTCAGAAATCATTCTAATATGCTGATTTGCTACTCAAGAAACATTTGTTAATAATAACATTATTATTAATGTTGAAAACAGTTGTGTTGCTTAATATTTTTGTAGAAACTGTGAAGCGTTATCAGGACCGATGAATTGAACATTCTAAAAAACAGCATTTATTACTTTTGTAACATTCTAAATGTCTTTACTGTAATTCTAGATCAACTTAATTGATTCTCGCTGAATAAAAGCATGACTTTCTTTTCAAAAAAGTCTTATTGACCCCAAACTTTTGAATGGTAGTAGAATTACAAATAAAGTAATAAACGATAAATCACCTATGTACATAATTACATTAGATTTATCACTATGCTCTTCATACTGTACTGTGTCTGTAACTAATAGTCAGATCTCTTTACCTGTGAACTAGTTGTGTGTTTTCCTGTTTAAGTTTGGATTTCAAATCTCCATTAGCCAGACTGTCGTTCTCAAGCTCTGTTATCTTCTTTTCCAAATAACTCACCTGCAGTAGAAATACAGAAGAGTTAAATATTATAGTCATTTATTATAGGCAACATTCTCTGAATCATATTCACAGGAAAACAACATTATTGTAGTGGCCTTAAAAAGTATATCCAAAACATCTGAATTTTACGCATTAAGTCTAAGCAATTAACAGGGTCCTCAGTGACCACATTATTATGCTTCCAGGACCTTTTCAGTGATGTCAATGTCACAGGAGTCGATGCTGTCTCTGAACAGGTCCTCTGTGCTGCCCTGACTGCTGCTGAAGTTACTGTGGTGGAAGAGCTGACTGTGGGACACACAGAGAAACAGAGAATCAGGAAATGGAACTGAAGTTACTAATCATTCTTCTGTCTAAACAGTTAGTGACTTGCGCTGCATCCGAAATCGAATACTGCCGTACTATATAGTGGACAAAAAATATATGCAAAAAAATATATATATTTTGTCCGAATTCATAGTATTTGAAAAACGAAAGGCAAAAAGTACCCGGATGACTTCTGCCGAGAATTCTGGAGTGTGCATTTGATGGACAGTTTACTATCCCATGAGGCCATGGGAGAGGATTTATGAATGGCAGTGGAGTGGAGGTCATGTGACAGTAACAACATGGAGGATGTAGTATGTCCAAATTTAATTCATTCCAATATTAATACTATATATACAGTATGCTGTATAGAACATTCTTTTTAACAGTCAAAAAGTAAGTTCAAATTCAAAAGTAGCACCTACTCAGTATGTGATTTCAGACACACTGATAGTCAGGCAATGGTTATTAAGCCAGCGCTTTGTAATCTCATATTCTACAGATCGTGTGAAAATAACAAAGATGAGAGACTTACCGACCAAATGCTGTACTGGAAATTTTCCTGTTTGGGCTGTAAAAAGAAATGGAAAAAATCCCTGTATTAGAAAAAAATGTTCATAAAAAAATGATAAAATACCATGCAGTCCAAATTCAGTTTAATGGGTACGTACGTACGGACGGACGGACAGACAGACAGATAGATAGATCTACCAAACTGTAATGTTTTGGTTATTCAATTCGACTAATCAGTTTTGTTTAGAGCCTAATTACTAATTCACTACTGCCCCAAGTGGCCAAGATCATGTACTGCAGTCAGACTGTCCTAGGTCATGAGATTACACCGATAATCAGACAGCTCTGGAGGACCTCAGTAAAAATAGAATACCTGCACTCGAATTATAAACCTCTGCCTGTGTTTATGTAACTGTGTGACCCATGTCACTCTTTAAAGCCCTCCTCTCATTACATCACACAGGTCTGAACTCAAACAGCTCGCCGAAATACAAGTCAGCTGTCCTGTCCTCATATCCAACCCAGCTATCACAGCACTGACAAAACACATTTAACTACAACAACAATGATGAAGCCAGACAATCTGCAAACCAAGGGAGATGAGGAAAAAATACACTCACAGCATTCACACACAAGCCCTCAAAACGGCAGGCGCACATAGTTCTTCATGACCTGTCATGACCTGTTAAAGTAGCTGGACATATCTAGTGCAAAAACAACATTTTCTGACTTTCACTTTCACACTAAACAGTCATTCAATAGCAGATCTCTCTACAAGTCTGCCTAGTGTTTTTTTAATATACAGTAATACTTAATTGATACAATAACCCAAATGTTTGCTGATCATTATAGAAAAGTTCATAGTGGTGCTGATCATGTCTTGCATGAATGCATTTTAACTTCAGCAGAGTACGCAGTGAAGGATTTGGACAAAAATGCCAGAGGATTAATAGCTAAAGGCCACAGAATGCCACATGGTCCCACTTCCCCAACACACCTATTCAGCCAGAGAAAAGGAAATCACACAGCTCTTTACTGAACAGCGTCTCTTGCTCGGTTCCAAAAGGTAGCCACTTGATTATGCTGCCACCTTGTTTTATTATGATTTATAATAATAAAAATGAAAAGGCAGTCCCAGAAAGCACTGCATCAATCTTGGTGGGAAAAAAAAGAATCCATTGTAGTAGAAGGAGTGATGTAACTAAATATACATATATTTCATTCAATACTGAAAAGTATAAATAAAAATAAACTGCATCCCAAATGACGCACTATACACTATGTACTTATACACCATTACTTGTGCATTATGCAATTTTATAAGGTTACTTTGTCATTAATAATCGGAGTCTGATAGCCCCTCCCCCTTCACAATGACATTAAAGCTCCAACAGTTGAGTGCATAAAGTGTTCAACAGTGTTTCAAACTTTATAATGTTTTTTTATTCTCCTGGTAGTTAGCTGTTTTGGTTTATACCTTATAACTCTTAAACAAAGACTTTTGGAAAATGAATATGAAAAATGAATAGGGCAATTACTTCCAGAACCAAGGCTGCTGAAAAAGTGTGCAGGCACTGTTGCAATTTACTAAAGTCAATTGTGTCTATTGCTTAATTGTCTGCCGTCTCTATACTTCTGAAATAACTCATGTAGTCCCAGGATGGTTCAGATGCTGTCTTAGAAGGCAGCTGTCTGTCTACAATAGCAAGTATGTAGTGAGGCAGCTCACTAGGTTTTAAGATCTATGTCTGCAGTATCATGTCTCGGTGTGTCAGCAGCAGAGGTGGAAACTTCATAATAATCCCGCGATGCTTTAAATCTTGTTACAGATGAAAGATTGCAGTGTCGTTCTCCTGAAGTGCCAAATTTGTTAGGTGTCCACATAATAATAAAAGGCTTATTTCAGCAGTTTTCATCAAATTCCACCACACACACCCACTTAAACACCCCATGCTTTTCTTGAGGGTCTCAGTTTTCCCTCACTGTCTGATAACATTCACAAAGATTAGTAAACCCTTGACTGGAACACTGTTGCTATGGTAACAGCTCCTCTGATGAAACCCATCTCCCAATAAAGCTTTTGACAGACCGGGGTGATTAAAGAGACTCATAAAAATATATCTAGCTTTACCTACAGTGAACTGAGACAAAGAATCCTCTCAGAAGTGCAGTGCTATGCCATTTAATATGAACTATAGATGCTGCAAAGTTAAGGGAACTAAAGACAGCATTCAGAGGGAGACGACTGATTAAAGGTGAGACAGCATGCTAGATATACCATCCTTTAGCATAAAATAGCTTCAGAAATAAAGCATCAACAAATATATTGCTATTTCGTTATTAATATGCACTGTATTAAGATGGAGGAAGGAGCCAGATAAATGTAAATAAATACATGTACATGTATGTAAATAAATAAATACAATATTTGTGTGTAATCAAAAATGGTTTATTTTGCCCAATATTTGTGTATGTTTATGCTTTCAGGGTGCTGCAGGAATGAGTCCTGAAATACAGACATGAGTTAGTATTTTTAAAACAGCTGGTTCCATCATTCTACGCTTTTTTTTTTTTTTTAATGGATTTTGTTTAAATATTGGAAATAAGGTCTGTGGTTAACAGAAGCTCAAGATATTTTCACGTTTTATTGTACTACATAAAATACATCAATAACAACAATTTGTGATTTTTTTGTGAAGTTTTTAAGTAGCTAAATGGGACTACAGAGGTTTTTGGGGACATTAAACATCATCATGCCAAACAGGAAAACTCATCTACTCACTAATCCGCTTTCACAGCCTTATTGTGTTCAAACCTTTACTCTCGCAAACTAACTCCAACCTTACAACTTGATTTTAAAATAAGACTCAGTGTCTTCTTAAGCTTAGTGGTGATGGTGACTTGGAATAACTTTTAACTTCTAGCGACTGTATTTAGACTTCAAAACAAACACATTTTCTGCAATAATCTTTAAATGCCAATGGAAAAATCCTACTGGCTTTTTGTTGAGTGAACCAGTGTTATGCTAACTTCTATATTGGATAACAAAAATACTGTACAGCATCCCTGTAGCACTCCATGAGAGTAACATGCTATTATCTTAGCAATATGCTCATTTCAAACTCTTGTCGCCTCTTACCTGTTAGCTTTGAGGTTCTTGAGTCTGGCCTCTAGGTCATTGAGCAGGTTGACTTTCTTGCAGCACTGAGAGCAGTAAACATCCAGAAGCTCGCTGTTGTACAGGTGCCTGATCTTCTGAGGGGTCTGGCCAGCACTGCAAACACCATCAAGTGATGATCAATACTGGCAGTAGAAGCATTCAGATTTTACTTGCTCAGTATATTTAATAATATAAAATGGTAAGATATTTCAAATTTTGCATAGTTGGAAAAGAATGTCTAATAATATGTTATTGATTTCATGATAGGATTATCCTTGATTCAACCAGAATCACACAGAGAAAATGAGAACAGCTAACGATACAAAACTCCCACTGTATGCCAAAAGCGTTTCATAATTATCGGCTGTTGTGATTTTATGTTTAACAATGAGTTGATTAATGGCTGTCAAAAGCATTAATGCAACAGAGTGTATTTGTGTCAGAATTATAACTACTATGCATTAATAATATGAAAATATATCTGTCGTAGTTCAACCTCAAAAAATATGAAATTAAATTCTGAAAATGTGCAAAGTTTTTACCCCAAGAACATTTTAAGCACATCCAAATGATCATTGCCATAATGCACTTTTTATTTTTACTTTATTTTTTTGTGCTTATGCCTGGGGTAAGGATGTGCTTAATTGTCATGAAATAATAATTAAGCAAAATATAATTTTTGATTTATTTCTATTTGTTTTTTTCATGTCTGGTTTCACGCTGTTCACACTTATTCATCCATGCAATCAAATGAAACCTACAGAATAACACCATATGTCAGTATTTCATGTGAGAGGTGTGTGCTAAAGTGGGTTAGTTAACCTGGAGGGCAGAGAGGAGCCCAAGTCAGAGAAACCATTGGTACGTGTGTCATCATCAGGGATGGGGCTGCTGGGAGTGAAGTCCACATCTTCTCCCTCTCCATAGTCCTCAAACTGCTCCTCCACAGAGATTACTGAAGCGGCTGCTGACGACACCATCTGACCACAGCTAAAACCAAACCCACACGTCTCACTTAATGTGCTAATTCTTACAGTTAATTGTTTTATTTTATTAAATGTAGTGCTGTCAAATGATTAATCGTGATTAATCGCATCCAAAATAAAAGTTTGTGTGTACATAATATATGTATGTGTACTGTGTATATTTATTATCTCTATATAAATATACACACACATGCATGTATATATTTCAGAAAAATATGTTATGTTTATATATTAAATATATTTGAAGAGTTCAGATGCAAAAGCCTCTAAGTGCCATCTGAAATTTTCTTCTAAAATTAGCATTTTTATCAGACTCCTATGTTTAGGTTCAGTAATTTTACTTTAATGGCAATGTATAGGTCCTTTTCTATGCCATTAAAGTGAAATAAATGAACATTAATATAGGAGTCTGATAAAAATGCTCATTTTAGATGAAAATATCAGATGGCACTTTTTTGCATCTGAACTCTTCATTTATTTATAATATAAATTATATGAATATAAATATAGACATGTAAATACATGTAAATATTTTCAAAATATATACTTTATGTTTGTGTCTTTATACATACATAATAAATATACACAGAACACACACATATATTATGCAAACAAAAACTTTTATTTTCTATGCGATTAATCGTTTGACACCATTAATTAAATGTAATTATTTTTTATTAATTTAATGAAACAATAATTATTAAATTAATATTTTAACTAAAATTCTGGCAACATATATTTAGCTTCTTAAGCTCAAATAATGCTAAAACAGCGACAACAAAAAACATAATCATCCATGATGCTGACCTGTTTCCACGTAGAAAGAGTCCACCCAGTCCTTCTTCTTTATCATCATGACGTCCTCCTTCAGAAGATTCAGACCCTGCCCCGCTGTCTCCTGCACTGTCCATGTCTGCCTCCTGCACGTCCCGTCCGCCCATTGCTTCCTCATCAGAATACAGCTGGCACTCTGGGTATGGCCGCGTGCACACAATGATCGGGGGTCCCAGACTCCCATCCCCGTGCTGCAAACAGATATCAAAGATTTCAATAAAGTCATATTGCTCAAAATGCAAATGTAACGTCAAAACTAGACCAGATTACTCTGACTCACTATGTGGTCTCTTCACACACACAACTTGGTGAGGTGAAATGAGAACTTAAGAAGACCTTTCTCAGAGGGACACAAAAGATATTGGGTCAAAGGTTATGGAAACTTTGCTCATTAACCCCAGAAGACACAACGGACGCCAAAACAGGACAAAGGTCATCACGGTGAACTGGTGTGAAACCTTTCAGTTGACTAACGAATAGTGAGTGTAACCAAGAGAAGAAAAGGACGAGGATTTAGATTGCATGGCAGAGACAGAAATGGTGCTCTCAAAAATGGAATAAGATTTAAATACTCTCCATTCTCCAATTTATACCACAGTGAACATTTCTCTGCTCACTCTCACAAGGTTTGACTTTTTTTTATTATATCCATTCTGTCTTACAACAAGTGCAGTTCAAAAATTAAAATTCATGTCACATCTCAATGGCAGGAGGACAATGGGAATCAGCTTATGTTGCCCAGTGGCTCATTGTTATTTGCACAGACAGAGCAGAATAAGTATCACACTATAAGAGATTGTTAAATCAATGGTAAGTCTTTATATATGTTTAAATACATACATTTTTGACACTTTCTGTCTGTCTAATATGAAAGTGTATTTATGTGTCTTGGGAGATACTGTATTATTAAAGCTGAGAGTTATGGCTGGTCATTAAGCCTTTACTGCATTCTGGGGAACTACGGTACACACCAATGTGCTTTAAAATGACTTGGCTCATCCCTCATTGATGATCATAATTTGTCTCATTTATTCATAAGGCAATGCTACAATAAAACAGACTTCTCCACTACTTCAATGCCATGTGAAAAAATCACTAATTTCAGAAATAAATAGCCATAAACTGCTAGTTTGTCATACAGTGACCCCAAATATGTATTTGAATACTTTTAAATTAAGTTTCACTTAGATTTTTCTGAATTTCAATGCACAGATCAAACAATTTTAAATTACTTTAACCATCTGTTCTGAAGGCATTTTTAAGGAATTTTAATCCAGGGTGTAGTTTATCACATTAACTACAAACATGGACCACTAACGTTTGACAAATTCTTTTTGTCATAATATCGTTTTATTTAAACTCTTCTATCTGTATTTGTGTGTGTGTGTGAAATGTTTTGCTTGAAATGTATTTGTACTATTTCTTTAAAATAATGCCAGTCAGTTTGATATTTTGTCCTAATGTAACGTCATGGTTATGTGTAAACACTCAAATTGACTTATAGGGTCCCTAAGGAACAGCTTTAGACATACATCTAATTCTAATAGGGATCTTTACTACACTCTCTATATTACTACTGCTTGATTAGCACAGGAATGTAATAGTCAGCTGCTCTACTCTCCTTTGATCCCTCACTCTTTATGCTAAGCCTTTACCATATTTTCCCTCTTCCTGATTTTTCTTTACTCAATAATATACAGTACAATGTATGTATATAACAAAATTGTCTTTCCTTCAATCGCAAACTCATTTCATTCATATCTGAGTGCATCTCAGTGAGTGATGACATACTCATTTACTCACCCACTCTCGAAGCACACCGTCACCATGTCACCCAAGTCCTCCAGCGTCTACGCCAACACCACCTGTTTCTCAAGGCCAAAAAGTGTGAGTTCCATCAACACACGGTTCACTTCCTGGGATACATCGTCACCCCTGCCAGGGTACAAATGGACCAGAGGAAGGTGGATGCCGTTCGGAACTGGCCCCAACCAAGTACCATCAAGGAGATGCAGAGATTCTTGGGGTTCGCAAATTTCTATCGCCGCTTTATTGCCCACTTCTTATAATATTATAAATGATCATTTAAAATAAGGGTTATTTTAATATATTTTTAAAATGTAATTTATTTCAGCAGTTTCACTGTCACATGTGTCACGGAAACACCTGCCTCACCAGCCGAATCAGCCTCCTACACCCGCTCACAATCACCTGATTACTGATCACGGACACCTGCACCCACTTACCACACCACTCAAATACTCACTCACCTCATTCACTCATCGGCTGGTCTCAAGGTTGCAAGCTTCTCTGTCCTGGTTCTTCGCCTTCCGATCTGCCTGTCCCCCTCAGAATCCTCAGTTCTCGGCCGGAGGACCGGAGTGCCGACCCAGATAAGACTGTTTTGCTTCCATCACTGCCTATGTTGAACTCTTTTCCGTTGGAAGCCTCTCTTAAGGTCCTGTTATTAAACTCTCTGATTGACGTTAACCTGCCTGTCTGCCTCTTTGTCCCGGTTGTGACAGCAGCAGTGTGTTAGTGTGTTTCTGAAGTGACCACTCTCACGTTCACACCTCAGCGAGTCCGTTACCTTCCTTTGTAGGCCACACATGAAATTCACACACCTCTCCACTCACACCACATGGCAGATGTAAGAAATGAGACCTACACTGAAAAAAAAAATTCTGGTGTAGGGTTTACTCATAAATTGCTAGTAATTTTCACAAATAATTACAAAGCAGCGACACACTGAATTAAACACGAAATTTTTAAATAGATTGATGAAACAGTATTTTCTTCTAATATATCTACTCAAATAATATTTATTTAAACTTTTACTGATTAAGGAAATCTGCAGTGTACAACCATCATGTCTAGCATATAACCAACTAAACTAGCATGTATATCCAGTCTTTAAACTAGTCCTTTGCATTTATAAAGGGAAAAAAGCTTCTAGTCTGTCCGGTCTGATCTGAGATTATGCCTACGAAAAGGAAATGTAACGGCCAGCCTCAGGATTAAAGATCACAGGTCCAGTCGCAAATCTGAGTAAAACTTAGATTCTTCCCACATGGCTGGATCTTTGGAGATAAGAGCGGAGGAGCAGATTACTGATGATGACTGATATCTGCATAGTCTTAATGTGAAGCTTTGACAGCATAATAGAGGTTCTCCCTGCTGAGCGGCGACTGTGATGAATGCAGCTCTCAGATACACTCTCATTGCAGTAATGTAAGAGGAGATGCAGGGCTCTCCTGCAGTGAGAGCCCAGATAAATGAGCTATAAACTAAGACCCCTTTTGGTCCAACCTGACCTGAATCTGCCAGCCCCCCTTAGACAGCACCGTCTGGAATGCCTAGACTTAACATTCATTATTTACACTCTTCTACTGACAGACTGCTTTTAATGTTAGGCATGCATTAATACACAAACATACTTCATATCATTTTATAAACCAAAAAATATTATACTAAAATAGAGTTATATGTATTTCACTGATGAAAGCAGTTAAGAAACTGCTACTATCATTTCACTCACCATTACTCTGTGTATGGTGTAGTGACAATGACGTGATTTGATTTTATGTGGCTGATTAACTTACGATTTGTGGACTATTCATATTATAGACACATTTGCTTTGAAATAAATACCAATGAAGGGAAGCTTCACTTTAATGCAGTTGTTCTTAATTAGAGAACTGAGAATCAAAGCAGGGCCATTTTGCAGATTTTGCTGTTTGCCGATTTTTAAGGTTAACATGATGGACTAATACTGTCATGCTGCAGTACTGCTGATCCACCCGTACCTCCAGCGTTTCATGCAATATTGCTGAGTACAGACTAAGTTGCATCAAAGCTTAAACACAGCTAACATCCAAAATCTGGGATGCTAAGAGCTAAAATACACCCACCAGTGTGTCCACATTGCTTACAGTGTGCTGATTTGGAGGGATGATCATCATTAAAAAGCCAGTGACTCTGCTCTGGAATATGCAGCCAGGTATTGATTCAAACAAACACATAGTGATGTCCATGCCGAGTCAAAGCTGCTGTATTCTTGCAGAGTGTAAGTGGGATTCTGTCGATGGTTATTGTGTAATCAAACACACTTTTATGTCATTACTGACCGAAAGCAATATCCTTTTATTACTTGGCTTATAAAGGGACAGTCCAATAATTAAAGTTCTGTAATCGAGAGAGTGAAATACGTAAATGAAATGGTCAGAAAGTACACTACTGTTCCAAAGTATGGGGTCAGTTAGTTTTTTTAAGGAATAATTTCTTTTATTCAGCAAGGATGCATTACTTTGATTAAAAGTAAAAAAACAAAACAAAAAAAAACACAATGTTACAATTTCTACTTCAAGTAAATGCAGTTCTCTTGAACTTTCTGATCATCATAGAAATCTGAAAAAAAAAGGTATCACAGTTTCCACAAAAATGTTAACTGTTTTCAGCATTGATAATAATAAAAAAAATTTTCATGAGCAGAAAATCAACATATTGGAATGATTTTGCATTAAACGCTTAAGACTTGGCTGCTGAAAATTCAGCTTTGCCATCACAATAAATTACATTTTAAAGTATATTCAGATAGAAATTGGTTATTTTAAATTGTAATAATATATTCACATTCACAATATTATGGTTTTCTGTATTTTTGATCAAATAAATGCAGCCGAGGTAAGCATAAGAGACTTTTTTTCAAAATCATAAAAACAAACCAACCCCAAATTTTTGAATGGTAGCGGATTAAACGTGTTTAATGTGACACTATTTTTTTTTTCTCGGAGCATGCCTGAAAACATTCAAATGCACAACATGTCCCAAAGCCCTCAGATCTATAAATAATAGAGAAGTTTTGTCTGTGAAGTCTAGAAGAAGATGCGTGATGGAGGAATGCACCTAGATATCTAACTCGCATACATTATTAGATTATTTTCCTCAGTGAAAGCAGAGCAAATATTTTTTTGCTCATGTTTAGATGCGGTTTAATTTTTCTTGGTAAATCTTGAGACGAACAGCACTTCTTTACAGATCTGCCATCTTAAGATGACAGCAACCCACACAAACAAACAAACACAACACTCAATTCTGGCTAGTGTCCAAAGTGCACCATCATATTCACAGCCTTTCAAGTGCAGCTCACAAGAAATGTCAAGTGTGCACATGAACATGACAGAAAAGCCTC